CTACCCCACGCAATACAACTGTACACACTCCACGACCTACCTGGTTTCACTTAGACCACATCCTGACGACGCGTCGATAGTTGAGGCGAGCCTTGGCTTGATCGCAAATCGACTTAGGTCAATCACGGACCCGGCCCGCATTACCTATACTCGGATCCTGGAAACTTTGTGTATGCATGACTTCTTGTTACTGGACTTTCAACTGAAAATCAATGAAGCATAACAATTGCAACACCACTGGAATCAATTGGCACAATGAAGCTGGATAGCTGTGTTAAGAGTTTTCTTCTGCTAATAAATATCTAAAACAGCAATATATAATATCTACAAAAGGAAACCTTAATGTTAAGCTACTAAATACACATATAATGTCGGTCTCTCTTTTTATGCAGTCATTTGTGACCTCTCTATTGACTTTAGCTTTCCGGGAATTATGCTGCGTGCCAGCAATTTACCTTGTTATTGACCCACACTATGATATTCCCTTTCTACGATTGGGTTTGGCCAGCTCCACTCAGCTGAGTGAGGATGCTAAGAGTGTATGCCCTCATCCAACTGCCACACCACACGCTGCAACAGATCAGAATCTGCAATCTGCTTCCAGTCCTCACTGCCACCCTGCCAGTGCCCTACAAGTGCACTATATCTCAATGAGTTACATGAGAGACCATTCACACTCTATACTCGAAACCATATATCGATTTGTAAAGCCATGCTAACATCGACCATACTTGTGCGTATGCCACATGATAATAAGTAAGTAGGACCTAGTGTGAGTGTCTGGTTTCCTTCATTGAGATCCTGCGCCGCAACACCAACCAGGAAAAAATTTCAGCTCTTTCCAGCTCGACAGCAATCAGTTACAGTTCGTCGATCTGGCTCCATGAAGGCCTCAACTTGGAAACGTCTTGTGTACACGATGTCCAATTGACGCGATGCCAGGCTTGATGATGTCCATACAACTAATCGCAGAGAGCAATACAAAAGAAAATGATTAATAATGTTAAAATGTAAGGCCTTCGTCTAAACAACAGATTTAAAGAGAACCCTTACGTGAAGATTCATGAGCAGATTGACACGAATCAATTAAGACATGAATGACTCAAGACGTTAACATGGATGTAGAATAAATATTCAATACTTAGATTCATTCACTTTAATTTTGAAAGGTTTTGATCTTTACTAGTCATTTAGATCTATAGCCGCACCTGCGAAAATGATGAGTCCATGCCACAACAAGTCACTGGTAGAGCCAGTTCACATGAGGGACTCACACCCCATACTATTCATCCAGTTGCCGATACGCTACTAGGAAAAATGATGCCATGCATATATTCTGCCGCTGCCCAACTTTGTTGATTTGTTGCATTCAAATGCACTGTGAATATCAGTTCACATATGCGGTGCGAGTGTGAGAGGAATGAGGCGCTTATTACTTAAATTAAACATCATAACACAAATTATGAATATTCAGCTACTGCACATGCGTTACAATTATGTAACTCTCAATACCATCCTGCCAACAAAGAATCTACAAGACACAGGTTCACCCTGCATGACACCGAGCGAGGCGGGCCGCGCTCACTCAATTCTCAGCCGCCACACAAGAAATTTGTGTCAAAACACCGGTGGGCTCGCTGACGAAAATACACAGTTCTTCCATATAACAGTCAGTGCTTATAGTACCAAATAGCCTTAGGAATGCAATCCGAAATTGCCCATCATTTTTTCAAAGAATTCCCGGGGGGATCCCCCTAAGCTGTACGAGTTCGATCAACCTGCGGGTGCTCGCTTTGCTAGACCTCAAAAAACATGCAAACACATAGGCAAAAGAATTTTACCCGCTCACAGACCTTTTTGGCCCAGTGCACGCATATATTTAGCCATAGTAAATCACACGGTATGTAACACAAGCACACTCACTCTTCTCCTCTGCGCTTTTTCCCTCCATTTCCCAGTCAGGAATGTCTTCAGGTTTGCTCGACGCGCAGGGTACCATGTTGAAACAAGCTTTGCGACACCGAGGGCAGTGTTAAGCTTGCTGGGTTTCACACTTCTGTCGACCTTGTTTCCACTGACAACTCCTGTGCGGTCAACAAATGCTCGGCAGTCGATCTTGTCATTGCCTCACACAGCATTGGATTCAGCCACGCTTACGACTTGTCAGTCTCCTGTAGAGTATGCATAAACATTCTCAACACTAAGCTCATTAAAAAATTACACACGATACATGCATACTCACAGACACTGCCCCACAGCACGTAAACAGGCACTAAATCTAAAGGTGTACAATAAACCGCCAAGCCGCTTGGTAAATAACTGAATAGTAAAGATGTAAAATTAAGATACTCATATAAAGTGTCAACTTTAATTGTGAGAGGACGTACGAATGGATAGCAGTAGATCGCACCCCAGCCTTCCATTTTGGGTGCGATTTGGTTAAGCAATGGCATGTACGCTTCAGAGTTCTGGTAACACAAACACCATAAACGAACGTTTGTTGGTCGCAATAACCATAATGAATTATCACACTAGTTTTACGAAGATGCACAGTCACGTAACTACACATATGGCTAAGTCCTTTACATGTTCTAACAGTGATCCAACTGTTCATCCAAACAATGGTAATTCGTCTTCACCATAACTTGGTGCCTTGCCCCCACCGCATTACAAGAAATATCCACGGCAGACCACTGCAGCCCAGAACTAGCACTGCTGCTGGATCACAGAGCTACGATCCAAACTGGCTAGTGGGACGAGAGAACTGATTTCTACTGCCATAAGGTAGAGTGGGTTAGGACTGCTGAAAAGGCGAATCAACTACAAGTACAGGTGAAACACAATCTTGTAAACCACAATTTATTTTGAATCCCCATAACAAACATTTACGAACAAAATATGAGCAAACACACGCCCACCTTTCTTCATATAAACTGTTAGTTGACGTTCATACAATACAACGTGCACTACCTTCACCCACAGGCATTTGGAAATCCCGCATATCTATAACCAATAAAAAAAGCTAAAACGATTGCTAGGCTGTTTATATGTAGAATTGTTACACCAAGCTAGATGAAATACACGTAATAGGAATTGTTGCATCTCTCCCATAGGCATAACAATGTTTTGGGGCCTCAGCCTTACCACATTCACATAGCCAAAATTGTAACAAAAATCGACATGAATTAGATGCCATTTTTTATTTTGCCAAAACAGTAGGCGTGCTCGAAAGCTTACGGTCGACCTGGCGCTGCTCAAAAATAGCGACGTTCAAAATCTCTCCCATAGGAGTAACAACTGTATGCCAATTTGAAACATGTGAGGTCAAACGCGTTCTGAGTTATCGTTGATCGGTAGACAAACCATTGAATGCATATGTGAATTGCCAAAATCTACCTAATTTGCATAATTTAAAAAAATATCAAACAACCCTTGTGATAGGTTTTAGCGCCAGTCCTTATTCATTCACATACTAGAACATGAGGCAAATCCGTTTGAACCTGCAACTGACTTATTGGCCATTTCCAGATTTTTGCCAAAAAGTAGAACGTGGCTCGAAAGTAGATCGCACTGTGCGTGCTCAAAATTAGACGCTGCAAACCTCCCCATAGGAGTAACAACTATATGCAATTTAAACATGTGGCCGTCAAACGGCTTCTGAGTATCTTGACCGTAGGCAGACACTTGAAATGCATAGTCTGGAATTTGCCCAAATCTACCCTAATTTGCATACTTTAAAAAAAACTCAAAATTTGTGTGCATATGTTTTGAGCCAGATCCTCAGTCATGCACATACCAGCAACTGAGTAAAATCGCATAAACCTGAACGACTTTATGGCCATTCTATTTTTTGCAAAAACCAGTTGCGTGGCTCGAAAGTAGGTCCGACTGGGCAGTGCTCCAAAATAGACGTTAAAACCTCTCCCATAGGAGCAACAACTATTATGCAATTTGAAACATGTGCGCCGCAAACTGCCTTCTGCAGTTATCGTTGACCGTAGCCAAATGTTGACGGACGACAGACGTACGCTACGGACGTACGACGGCACGACACCCATGGCAATAGCCTCATCTTGACGCAGTCAAGGCCAAGCTAAAAATCGCGCTATCGCCAATCAAAACGCCGGCGCGAAGAAAGTTGCCGGGATTTAACGACGGACAGTGCCACGAAAGGCATAGCAGCCACGTAAGACCAGAATCGACGTGCAAAACAACCGTGCCTTGGATGGAAAAAAGCAACATACGAACTTCCGAGGATCCGCCAGGTGCAGACGCCAATTATGGTAATTGTTGCCAGTCGCATGTTTTTCTTCCATTATTGCCGTAGACGCTATAACTGTGGGATCTGAAATCAGCACCTGGCTAAATCTACGGAGAAAACCTTATTAATGAAATTTGATCGCCGTTTCGCACTGTCGAAAAATACTAGACGGAGTTAGACCATGCGCAGTAATTAGGGATTACGTGCTTTTCGTCGAGCCTGCTCCTGTTATCTATTCCATTGATTGTGCATCTACTTATTATATATAGCTATAATTGTTATATGATTCACATTTCGATTATGTCCATTATTCCAACCACTCTGACGTATTTTGGCATATATCCAAAATACAAATGAACAACAATGCAATTTGAAAGCATGATTTCTAAGTATATTTTGTGTGTTTCGAGTAAACAAGCATTGAACTAAGGCATGCAGATGAAACGGGGGAAGTGGTTGGCTCAGAAGCCCAATGAGAAAGCTTCCTGCCTGCGAAATTTTGACAAATGTGTGTACATCGAATCATGCTGCTTAGAGAGAGACTACCAACGACGCAAACCGGCGTACACAGCACGCACGCACGCACGCACGCACGCACGCACGCACGCACGCACACACACACACACACACTTGCTCATCTGTGTAGCACTTGCCTATAATCTGTGTAGCCGCTACCACTTAATTGTGTAGCAGTTATTGCTCACATGTGCAGTAATTATTCCTCACAGTTATCACTCACCTGTATAGCAGTACTCGACGAGCGCCAGCACTGAGTCGCTGTCGACGTCCTTCAGTGGCACCTCCTCTTGCTGCGCCTCACGCACATCGCTCGTGAACATTGCTGCGAAGTAGTCGGAGGCTGCGCTCAGCACGATGCGGTGCGCGTGGATACGCTGCGCGCCAATGATGAGTATCACGTCGCACAGCTCGCCGTGGTGATAGTAGTCCTCCATCTTCTTGAGCGAGCGCTCGGCGTGGTTGATCGAGTGGTAGAACTCGTTGTCGCTCTCATTGTCCATCCTGCAGGAGAAGCCAGCGTTGCTGTAGTAGCGGTAGTTGTACATGCAGTGCGTGAGGCTGCGCGAGTGGTGCACCCACTTGCTGCACATGGCAGCCGCTGCCTGCGTCGCCGCGCCGCACAGGCCCGACCGTCTCTTACAGCATTTGCGCGCGAGGAGCTGCTCTCTGGCGCTCTCTGTCGCGTCACCGTCGCTGACGCTTAGCGCTTGTTTGCACGCTCGAGACGACGCGTCGCGTCTAGTGCATAGCACGACGGGCCTCTCGCCGCAGCGATGGTATCGTGAATAGGCTACGAATGTCGTCGGCGCGGTTCTTCGCTCTCTTTCAGTGCTGATTAGCCGATGGCAGGTGGGCAGCGAGCCTGCTGCTGCCGTTCGCCTGATGATCGATGGTGTCAATTGCTTCTGCATTCACCGATCTACACCCGCCTTATTAACTGTGAATGTAAATTTTGAGCCTGACCTGATCTGACGCCACGTGTGAGATACACGGGCAGACGCTCTCGCAAGTTGCTTAGAATTACGTCACCGTATACCATGACGCAGGAATCGCGTCACCGGATACCATGACGCAGGTATCACGTCACAGAATACCATGACGCAGGAATCACGTCACCGAATACAGGAACCACGTCAATGAATACCATGACACAGGAATTACGTCAATGAATACCATGACACGAGAATCATATCGGCAAATACCAACATTCAGATAGTAGCTAGTAGAGTAGCTCGTCATGCTGATTGAGAATATACCTGACGGGTGAACCTCTTACTGGTTTCGAGAAGACAGACAGACAGATAGATCCGGCGATTTATTCAATTATTGTAGGAGATGAATACGAAACACTCGAAAATACGAAAATAAGCAGCAAGTTCAGCATTTATACCTATATGGTAGTCGTCTACGACGCTTTCCTACGAAGCTAATAATTCGTTTATTGTCGCTGTAATTCGACAATAGAGCTACAAAAACAATGCGAACAACACCGAGAAAATGCGCACTCGCTCTGACTCGATGCAGTAGGAGGGTATATAGCGCCACCACGCGGACATGTATTGAAATAATAAATAATTGTAATTGTAATTTTAAACTGTTTGATTTTGTGTATTTTTTTTTTTTGGCCTTGCCTTTGGTCGTCGCAACATGCTGATTAAGAATATATATGGTGTTAAGGGTGAGCTCTTACGAGGGGGGAGAAGATAGACAGAAGGACAGACACAAAAACAGACTCGCCCTTTATGTAAGAGATTGGGTGTACTCCTAGAGACTGAACTCAAACGTTATATTTATAGGTTGATAGATCGACTGATTGTAGCCGTTAATCTAAAAAACAACAACAACCGAAGTTTAGTTCAATTCACGATACTCATCCTCTAGTGACTAGTCCATACATCAGCAGATTAGGGACTAGCGAACCTAAACACTACGCATGAAAACATATGATTCGTATTAAAATGATCGGTTCTCTTCTTTTTGCGCTGATAATACTCAGGCGCCAGATCTCAGTAGCAGTTATCATGAAGAAGTTATTTTCATCATCATCATCATCATCATCATCATCACCATCATCATCAACATCATCATTATCATTATTACCCCCACCACGTCATCATCGTCATTATCGTCATCATCACCCAGTGATCGACATCCCGCCATCATCATTAACACCACATTATCATCATCATCATCACTACGTCATCAAAACTGCATCATCATCAACATCATCATCATCATCATCATCACGTCATAAACACCGCACTATCACCACTACGTCATCAACACCGCATCATCATCATCACGTCATCAGCAGTACGTCATTGTCATCATCACCACCCAGTCATTATCGTCACGCGTTATCATCGCCATGTCATTGTAACGTTGAAGTACGTTGATGTATAAATGATGAAGAAATCCAAACTTGTGCAGTAAACTGAATAACTTTAATATCTGCTCACGTATCGTCACATCTCCTTGTACACAGAGACAAAGAAACGCGCACACGCGCGTAAGCGCGTGCGCTTACCCGCGCGACCACAACCAGACCCGCACATTTTAGCCATAACCCTGCATTCTGATACAACACATTCACACTGATGTGTCAAACTGCTAGATACAAAAGATGAGTCGCGTCACGCTCACTGCTAAAAATAATAGAGTCTCTGGCTACGTGAACAAACGGCTGTTACATCATCATCATCACGTCATCATCACGTTATCACGCAGACGTCATCACTGTGTGTGTGTGTGACTGTGTGTGCATACATGCGTGCGTGCGTGCTGTAGCGTCACTTGATCCCGCTGTCAGTGCGCGTAACTGCCGCAGTACATGTCTGATCTAGCCCGCCGCCGGGCGTCATAGCCGTTGAGTAACCTGCCTGCGGAATATCAGCAGAAGCTGATGCAGAAGCTAACGAACCAGCGAAGACGGTAGATGTGCGTGCAGCAATCAAGCGACGGTGTGTGCATGCAGAATGGACGGGTCGACGCGGCACGTACGCACCCGAACCTGCTCCGTTACATTCTCTCTATACGGATTACGTACTGCGTCTAGCGATTTTTATAAGGCGCGTGAAGTAGAGGTGCATGTGAGGTTACATTTAAGCGCTCATGACTCACTAGTAGCGAACAGCGTATCTCCCCCTCCCGCTTTCTCTCCCCCAGCAGACCTACTCAGACGTATAATTAATTGATACATGCATCTAAAATTGACGACGTATTTATGCCACCATAAATGACACAATAAAACTTTGCGAGTGTGTCTGTGCGTGCGTACGTGCGTGCAGACAGAGTGCGCAACGGCTGGCGCTATACTACTTGCTGGCCGCGCATTCACGCATGCAGACTATACATAAATATTTCAGTCGGAATTGAGCCAGCCGCCTCATGAACAAGCATTTATGAAAACAGCACGTTGGCGACGTATTTCAGGCACCCACTCTGCACACTCGGCGGCAGACAGCCAGCGACGAGACTCAACAGCCACGCGCTATGCAGCCCCGCATACACACGCCGCAGTCTACAAGACTACAGCGGGTGCGTTGAACTGTCATGCATAATGACATCATTCGAACGCGCGCGCCACCGCCGCAGCTGCGGTCACGTGACGGAGGCCTGCGCGAAGGTACGTAGATTCAGTCGATACTGAAATCTGCGAGACGGAAAGTTAATTAAACGCGAGTCATGTGTGAGCGCAGTTGCCGTATTAATCGTTGATGCTGACCAGCGCCTTTACAACGCGGCCACACGCCGACGCTATTGTATTATGGTGCCGGCACTCAAATCAGTGCGAGCGCTTTGAAGATTAATTTACCTCGCCACCCGCGTAGGGCACCGTGCAACCACGATGCCACGAGTAACACAGCACGATTTCAACCGTCTCGTGACTCAGTAGGGTTCTACTTCGCATCTGCAGAATCATTCCACTCGCTATATAAAAGGCTACATTTTCTACCTCGCTAATATGGCCATGCCATGGCTAGTCCGAAAGTATGAGTGGGCGAACTGAAACAGCATAGCCTGCACAAAGGTTGGTCAGTACAACGCCAACCACCTTCAAGCAGCCACGGAAAGAACTTGCGGCGCATAAGTCAATGATAGATCCACCGCTACCTTTCATTCCACTCCACTCCCATATAGTACTTTCAGACAAACGGTGGTCTTCTTCTAAAATTAATCATAACGATGGTGTACCTTCAGACTAAACTATGGTCTTGCTATAGTGATTGGAATGAATCCATCTACGAGCTACGTGATGGTCATCTCAAACACGTATGCCGAATGAATAATCACACCCCATCGCCTTTAATAGCGCTTACATTTCCTTACATACAAATGTGTAACCCAACAGCGTAAGAACAGTAGAACAGAGAAGTACAAATATGTAACCCAGCCGCGTAGGGACAGTAGAATAGAGTAGGTAGAGTCGAGTAGGTACAAATGTGTAACCTAACCCCAACAGACAGTAGGAACAGTTGAGTCGAGTAGGGACAGAGTAGGAACATAGTAGTAGAGAGTACGAGAGTAGCTTACTTTGTCAGGTTACATATATCTAATCTATCTAACATTTTCTATACAGGGGAAGGTCAGGTCGCTTTATATAACCGGTGCTCTGTATACGCCATAACATACCGATCGCCTGCTGAAGGAGAATTGTGTCCAACTATAGCTGTCCCGCGTGTAAGACACATGCGCGGAGAGATGTCAGGTAAAAACGCGATCGATTTTCTCGTCAAGGCAAAGACAGTAAATGTCACCGCGATATCGGAATTTCTTCGGCTTTCATGCATAGAGAGTTAACAGGCGATGCCGCAAGATATATAGTTGTGCCCCTCGCTTCCGTTCGAGGTTTGCGCCATTGACAATACGCTATATAGCTTGTCTTATACCTTATACCTTATTACTCGTTATACCTTGTACCTCATACCTTCTGGACACTTTCAAGAACCTGAGCTTCCAATCGATGCCATTAACATTACATCAGAAGTGAATAAATACAAACTTATATCTACCTTTATGCACTCCTCATCTGATTAATTGCAGGTAATGCTGGGATTGCGTCACGCATTACCTCATCCGATTATACTATAAACAATGGTAATCAATATTGACATTGTATAGTATCTAGCAATGCTTATGGTATTTTATCCCGACTAACATCAAGGAGTACGCCCAATGTGTCGCGTATAAGCGCTAGTACACCTGATCACAACTTGATAGATTACGAGGCACTGACAGAAGTAAAAATGTTACGCTTTCTGACCTTCGCATAAATCGAAAGCTAAAGCTAAACCGAGCTCAGCTGCCTTTCCTGTGTGCTCAACACTTTGGTGCGAGCACTATATACTACAGGTCCGATCGGAAATGGGAACATTTTTGCTATCACGCATGCGAATGGCCCGCGCGCTATCGAGTAAAAAGGTCACGTGATTCACTCTACTCACTATGGCCTGATCATGGGTAAACGAAAGGTACTAATATGAACGCGCGGACTGAAGCTG